AGCCTCGTCTCTGATTGGCTGGAATTATGGAATATTGTAATGCTGGGTTGTGTTGAGCAAGCGAGCCGTTGGCATTTAGAGAGCACTGAGGGCGGGCATCAAGGGAGCAAGCTAGTGAAACTTTGCACACGCAAAAGAGGTCTGCACACATCCAAAAACGTATTTTAAATGCAAAATGTATTTTCGTGCGCTCTAAATACTTTTTTCTTTGCGAAACGAACATTTTCTCCACAAAACTTCGATTGCGTGCGTGCAAAATGCAGTTTTGTGCGCTCAAAATATGATCTTTCGCGCGTAGAATTGTGCCAGAGATCTAAGCCTATAGCGTCCTTCCTAGGCTGCGTTCCAGTTCACTTTTTTATGCCCTTCAAGCGCTAATTCCCTCCGTCTCGTTTACTGTGATGTACATCATTGATTACGTTGCATGAGTGCCCACTACTGGTGGAACCTTTGGAATGGGCTGAATTGGAACGTTCTAAGCCCTTGATCACTTTCGAATCCGCTATGGAGTTGGTTTATTGTTTACATGTTTCCCCTTATGAATTTGTTTGGTGCAGCATTCTATACGTATATAGATATGCTTGGGCTGTTATAAAATGTAAAAAAAAATATATATTATAGAGTTGTTTGGGGTGGGGATAAATTAAACGTGATTTGCGATGGCGTCATAGTCGTGTTGCATTGTGGTCTACAGAGCGGCCTGAAGTGTGCATATGAAGCAGATTCGCTCCCTCGGTCAAAATCGAGGGGTCGAGGGTATGTTCATGTAAACTTCCCTTGTCCACTTGACAAAGTGGAACGCACTTCAAAATGGCAGCGGGGATTCCACTGAGGGTAAGTGCTTAGGGAAGTTTGCGAGTTCTGTGTCTAAAAGTGAACTGGAACGCAGCCCTATTTCAGTCCTTCTAGGCTTGAGTCTTGTAGGCTAGAGTCCTCCTCGGCATTAAACAAATTGAGATGAGCAAAATCTGCGCAGAACCAATCACCGGTGATCACCTCGATATGCATGCTGGTTAGAAAAGTGTCCGAGTTGCGTCCGAATTGCTCTGATGTCATGCTGACGTGTGCCAAAAAACTGGCAACGGCGAGGCGGCTGTGTCGGATTGCGCAGTCGGGCGCAGTTGCTCTCCACCGACTGCGCTGATCAAAAGCATGATGGGCGACTGACTGACGACACAGCTTAATGCTCATTGGTTCAGACAACCGTGATGTTGCATTCTCTTCTAAAATATTTAATTTTTTTATCTGATTATGTATTTAAATTATGCATGAATGTTTATTAGCAACACAGCACATGAGTTAAAAACATCCCAAACAAGCCTGTTCACTCCGCCAGCGATGGAAGGCTGCATCCTACAAAGGCTGCATATCTCGGCTGCCAAGTCATCAAACGTCGCTGAAGGCCATCTCAATCGGAACGATCCTTGGAAGGCAGCCTTCGTTTCGCGTCCTTCATTCAGCTGAATTTGAAGGATGCATGGGATGTATCCTCCGCGACCTTCAATCACCCACAATACTTTTGGGTACCATCCCATTTCATGAAAATAAACTGACGAAAAACGAGTCAGTACTGAGCTTGTCTGAATTTATGAAATGCAAGACAAAAATGTTTTCGGACATGAAAGGATGTTATCTTTTGTTTTGGTGTAAATTACTTACTAAATGCTAAACTGCCAATCATTTCAGCCACGGGGAAACTAGACGACAGTGATTCATTGTATATAATTGCATTAATAGAAAGCAAAATAATATAAAGATTTGTAATACAAATGTATTTTTCCAAAACTAAGTTTTATTAGTGTTTTTGTGCCGTGATGTGAGGACGGGAACATACGTGACGTGCACTTACTAGAGCATCTCATTAGGCTTGGCTTGTTTGAGATGAGTAAAATCTGTGCAGAACCGATCACCGGTGATCACCGTGAGATACATGACGGTTAGAAATATGTCCGAGTTACGTCCGACTTGCTCTGAAATCATGCTGATGTGTGCCAAAAAACTCTCGCGATGGCGAGGCAGCTGTGTCGGATTGTGCAATCGAGCGCGGTTGCTCTGAGCGCTGGAGAGAACTCAAGGAGTGGAAGGCCTGCGATCGGACGCCAAGGTTGCGGTGTCTCTTCACGATAGGCGAGTAACACCGTGTCTGCACCGCAACAGCTAAAGTCTGTCTAGTACACTGGACGCGACAAAGTGACCGTTGAAAATCATTTGAAATTTGTGTCAATACATCATGAATAGAACGCAGCAACAGTTTTGTCGGCATTTGTTGTGTCGGGCCGAGCCGCATCCAGTGCAGACCATAGAGATATATGGTGTAGACAGCATCACTGATTATAATGAGTTCCATAGTATTTTGTCGCGCCGTGCCACTCGCGTCCGGTGTAGACACGGTGTAACATTGGTTTTGCTTTGTTTCACAGAACTAATCGATGCCTGGGTTGTGTACGTATGTGTGGGGCGGAGCTATCAAAATAGGGGCGAGACCCTTTTGGGGTAGGGGCGTGTTTGTTTTGGTGGATTTCAAATGTCAACATTGGCTACCAGAAATCGCTCACCCCACCTTTAATGCTCATTGGTTCAGACAATGTGATGTTGCTGTTCTCTTCTAAAATATTTTATTTCTTTATCTGGTTTCATGTGATTTAAGTATTAAAATTATGCATGAATATTCCCAAACACTATGACAGTGCGATCTTTGTGTGAGATATGTGATTGTCGTCATAGTTCTATAAAAAT